AAAAAAAAAAGGAATTATTTTATTTAACTTTATTTATTTATCATTTGTTTGTTTCAATTCGACCAGAGAGGGACAGAATGAGAGAAAGTGAGAAAGCAAGCCGCCAGGTCTGGGACTCGAATCAGAGTCGACCACGTGGAATCCATCGCCGGCAACCACCAAGCCACTTGCCCCCCACCCCCAGCTCAGTTCTCAAATGGACTTTCCGTATCCCCTCGGCCCTGTCCTTTGTCCTTTTTAGGTACCTCTTCGCTAGCTGACCCGCCCCTAAGGCCTTATTAGGTATGACACGCCCATTCCTCCTCTCATTGGTGCTTCCCCATGTCAGTATATGCTGTGGATTCTCGGCCCCAGCTGATTGGCTTTTCGACACCCCTGCCCTTCCTGGGCTTCCCATGTCCCCACTACTTTTGGGGCTCTTACATGGTGCACAGCTCATCCGCCCGACCTCGCAGCTCCTGCAAGCCCCGTGCTGTTTGTGCCTGCTCACGCTGCGCTCGCTCCCACTGGCCCAAGAAGCCATCGAGCCTGCCGCCGAGGCCCCCGAGCAACCGTAGGGCCTCCTGCACGGCCCCCTCCTCCTGATGCCACCGGGCGGTCAGCGAGGACACCTCCCTCCTGGAGGGGCAGACGAAGGGAACAGGTTGGAGCTAGGTCTGGACACGTCCCCATCGACCCCGCCGTACCAAGACCATGCCATGGCTCCGGACCCACCAGGTTCCCCCAAACGGTGTCAATCATTTGTTGAAATCTGCTCATATCTTTTACAATCCTGCTTCTATCTTCTAAACGGCTCCCCCGGTTCTTCTTTCAACGCTGCCCCCAAGTCCCACCTAGGCTCCTCCAGATCCCGCCTCCACAGCACGGCTCCTCCCTACCCTGTCCCTCAACTCCGCACCTCCAGGGTCCGCCCTCTCCCAAGCCCCGCCCACCTGTTACCGGACACGAGAACCTGCGCACCAGATCTATACTCAAAAATTACTTTTCCCACCCACTTTTCACCCTTTCACGTCTCAGCCCCCAGGGCACTCACTCCTGGGCTTTTGAAGACTCCACCTCTGGGACCCGCCCCTAAGACCTTGGAGCTCCACCTCCTTGCCCCGCCCACAAATGCTCCCCAAGGCTCTGCCCCTGCGTCCCCGCCCACTCCAACTTGTCAAGGCTCCACCCTCTAAGTCCTGCCCACCTTAACTCCTCCAGGCCGGTGGAGACCTTCTGCAATTCCTGCTCGCTCACGTGGGGGCTCTCCCCTGCTCGAGGTCCCATTCCCCAGCCTCCGGGAGCCGGGCAGCGCGGCCGTGGTGGTTCGTCCGGGCTCCCTGGTGGGCCTGAGCAGCCTTGGGTCGGGGCGGCGGCACCTAGACCCTGCCGGGAGAGGCCGGCCTCCAGCTTCTGCTCCAGCTCCTGCAACTCCGCCTCCTGCCTCCGCGGTGTCTCGTCCTGCAATTGCTGCTGGAGGTAGCGCAGCTTTTCCTGGAAGGGGAAGAGCAGCACGACCG